ATAGTACATTTAACATTAAATATATATATATATATATATATATATATTTATACAAATAATTTGTGTATAGTATAACTTCTCGTAAATAAAAAAGATATATATTGTGCATAAAATTCAAATTCTACAATCTTATTTATTCAAATGTTTCTATTCTATTTAGTATTTAAGATTCAAAAATTATAAATTAAAGTATAAAATTGAAATAAAAATTAAAAGGAGTTTAAATTTTATACCACCATTTCAAAAATCGAGCTGTATAATTTAATATTACGAACATCATGCAGACGCAATTACTTTTATTTAAGAATTTAAAAAAATAGTACTATCTTTAGCCATCGAAACCACTCAAGACTTCAGTTACAATCTAATTAGCATCACTTAAAACATATTAAATTAATAAGAAAACATACGTAACAAAAATTAATATACATATATATAATAAACACCGTTAACATGCAAATTTAGTATCCATTAAGTATAAACATACAAGAATTGATATGCATATCATTAACATATTCATATAATCTTAAATTTAAAAATTTCATTATCAGTTAACTTAATGGAAAATTAATTTAATGGGTCAATACGTTAAAACTTTTAAGTATAATTAAAAAATTCAAAATTTAATAATGTAAATGGAGAAAATTGGATTGAGAAAATCGTCCAATAACAAATTTTCTTAATATTCAATTCAAAATAGTCAACTAATGACTTAGATACCGATTATAATATCAATATATGAATTGTATCCTTTTAGAATCTCTTTCACATAACAAGGCATGTCAAGAACTTCTCTATGATAGAAGTCATGGAAGAGATATAGAAAAAAGATCTCAAACGTCTGATACCTCTAGAGAAGTCGAGATTTCATGATACAACCTCTCTGATAGATCCATATGACTCATCAGAATTAAATTCATTGTGAGTCAATCATATCTATTGAGTCTATCAACCTACGAATAACTATAATGATCATACCTCTATTACCAACACTAAAGCTTATTATAAAATTATTTGACTAAGACTGAAAGAGGCTAATATCCTTCTCCCTACTCATTCCCCCTCTTCCTCGCAATGGAAATAGTGGACTTCAACACTGACAAGTGATCATTGAACTATTGATTGCTGCTCTTCGTTCAAATTGAAAGAGGAAAAAATGAATCAGCCTACAGCCACCTTAATCGTTTTGTTTTCATCAACCATAACCGTGAAAGGGCTTTGCAGAGCCCTTGATGCACACTGTAAATTGATGTGAAGTTGACCTAATTCCCCCAGTGGCATATAACCGTGAAAGGATTTTGCAGAGCCCTTGATACACACTCTGTCGGCTGCCATACTTTGCATGAACGCCACAATGGCAACAAAGCTCCTTTGGAACACATCCTTGTCATTTTTCCCTTTCTTTTTATATATAAATCCACGAAGTGGACTGTAATGTTTCCTTTAATGACCGAGCATCATGCATAGTTATCATCCACTCATACTCATATTATTGAAGCAAGTAAGAAAACCACCATTTTCCAGTCGGATGCACTATATTCGTTGTTTGGCTTATCATCGTGTAAACCCTAAATCCTTAATCATTAAGCTAACCCTAATTCCTTGCCTCGTGTGACCCTCCTTTTGAAAGGGCCTACCCTATTGGGATTTGATGCCAATATGGGTTCATCAACAGTCAAATACACTTTATCCCCATCTTTTCTTCATATCTTTTTGCTGTTCATCTCTTGTTCGTAGTGAAACAAATTGTATTCATAGACGGTGACCTACTTGTAGTCTCTCCTACAAGCATCAAATATATAATTGAATCGAGTTGAATTCGAAATTTATAGTTAAAATTTTTAAAACGAGAAATTACACTATGCTTTGATTTAATTCGATGTTTTAAACATGATAACAAAACTAAACGAGATATTAAATATACTTTATTTTTAGGGTTAATGTTTAAGTTTCTTAAGAAAATAACATTTTCCCAGGAAAAATATATCTAATTTATTCTGATTAAGAACTTCCACAAGGAAAAAGATGATATTTTGGATTATTAACAGCCATCCATTTTCACTTTATTTGGAATTATATCCACCCACCAATCCCTCCACCACCAAAATGCAGCCCTATAGGGAGGGAATGGTAAATTTAGATAGTCCATATTATTTAATTTATTTTTTTCGGTTAAAGAAATCATTGTTATTCTTATAGGTCATAGGTTCAAACACTAACAATTGTAGTAGGATGATTGAGCGTTCAATGTTAAATAATTTGGAGTATTTAGAACATATATTACTTTGAAGTTTTGTATATTTGTATTTGAACGTGTTTTAATTTTAACTAAGATAATATAAAATATTGAATTTTTTTATCTAAATTCTATTATGTATATATTTAAATATCTTAACCTAATATCTATTTATATGTTAGATTATGTTTGGCTAATTCCTTTTAAATATCTTAACTGAATTATAGAAAAATAATCAAGTTGATATTGAGAGCACAATTTATTGGAAGATGTTGATTGATTTATCATTGTAATTTAACTATAAAAAACTATAAAAAGACAAAATTATATATATAAGATAGGACTATGCAAAATATTTTTGTTTTGTATAAATTTAAGATTGTTAGATGAGTCGAAATAGAAAGTTAAGATTAATCATAAGAAATCAAAAGATATTCATTAATAAACAATAAATTAATCTCTAATTTTTTTATTTCAAGTCATTCAATAATACTAAATCAGTATAAAGGCTTAATTATAAAATAATGGCCTAAAATATATCGTTTTCCCAAAAAAAAGTCTCTAATTTTGTTTTTGAATTATTCAGGTGTCTAACGATACAAACGTTATCATTTTAGGTGTTCGAGACGTAACGACCATTAATAAATCTCGCAAAGTGACACATGTCATGCTATGAGAATTTTGATTTTTTTAAACAAAATAAAAATTATATATTATATTTATAAAAGAAACCCTATTTTTCTAAAATTATAAAAAAATCACAAATTCTTAAATATCTCAAATTCCTAACCTTAACTATAACCTCCTTTGCATACTATATCCATCGTCTAAGTTGCCCTTACCATTTCTCTGGTCGGTCATCGTCTCCTTTGTCCTTGTGCACGTTATCAAATCACATGGATGTCTTAAATTTGAGGGTTTAAGTTCACTAGAAATGAGGTTTTGGGTCAAGACTTTGTCGTTTTATTCGTCAAAGACGCGACATTTATGGTCGACTTTGGCTTTTCGTAGGGTGGATGTTTGATCGAAGTCAATCGATAATAGTCGATGCGGATTTAGGGATTAAAAATTAAGTTCTAAGAGTTTTGAGGTTTTTTAAAGTTTTTCATTTTTTTTGGTTTTTATTTTTTTAATATAAATAAAAAAGTTTAAAATTATCAAAAAAAAACGTAACACGTATCATTTAACAGTGAAATCTAATTACCGTTAGAACTTAACATCTAAAAATATAATATTTATAAAATTAAACACCGAAATGATTTAAAAGAGTTTAAATATCTATCTAAAAAAGATGGTGTAATTTAAACATTTATTTTATAATTAAACCCGGAATAAAACTAAAAAAATTACTTTATATAAATGAATCCCAGCTGTATATTTATAACTATCGAACACAATTAGGGCTGCAACTATTGCAGGAACTGTGGTTGATGGACTGATGCTTTTAGGGTGATGCAAATTGCAAGTAAGTCAGTGAAGGCTGTTTTGGTCAATCCCATCAAAAGGTGTTGTCAATCAATGAAAAAAATAAACTAGAAAAAAATCATATTATTCCCTTTTTTTTTATCCCAATAACTTTATGTTGTCTCCATCAATCATCTATCTTCCCTCTTTTTCTTATCTCCTCTCTATTCTAATTAAAAAATTATAAAACTAAATTTAATTAAAACTCATCAAATTTAAATAAAATTATATACTTAATTTAATCCGATATAATTATATATCTAAAAAAATCTTTTTATTCGATAAATAAGGATCTACTTAAAAAATATATTAACAAAAAGAAATTATAATATTTAACTAAATAACCATTTATTCTTATTTTTTAGAGCTCTTTAACTCTAATATTTAATTTTGAAACAAAATATCTTATACTTAGATAGAAATCATTAGTTAATTAAAACACTATATGACATGATTATTGCCATGTATTTAAAATGCTAATGTGTTATACGTCTTAAATGAAGACATGATATATGTCTAAAATGATAACATGACACATATTGTGTGTCTAAAGTGATAACATAACATATGTTACGTGTTTAAAGTAATAGCGTGATACATGTCACGTTTTTTAAGTAATTATGTGAAATTTGTTGTGTGTATAAAGTGTTGCATAAAACATGACACATTATTACTTTAAACTTATAGAATTTTAATTAATTGATGTTTTTATTAAACTAATAGATATTTTATCTCAAAATAAAATATTAAGATTAAAATCTTTTAAAAAAGTATTTGATACTATAAATAATTTTTAGAATGATGCGTTGAAAATATAAAATAAATTATTATAACAATAATTCATAAATGTATAAATATTAATTATATTAGTATTTTTAAATAATATATTTTTATGTTAAACTCAAATTTAATTTACTAATAACTAATTAGTTTAGTGTGACCAAACACTATATCTCTTAAGTAATATTAAAAATTCAAATCTTAATATTTATGAATAGAGTAAATTAAGTTGTAAATCGTTCTTATCTCTGAAGTATCTTATTCGAAGTAATCTATCAATTGATTATTAAGAACTTAAATTTAATTTAAAAAAATCAATTATGTACTCTTCCGTTTCCCATAAAACCCCTAGACAATGTTCATTTTCAACTTTTACCCATTTCACCAGTGTCTGTCTCACTCGGTGTAATTAAAACATTTATGCAGTGAAACTCAGAGTTTCACTGAGAGTTCTAATTTAATTATTTTCTTCTTCTTTTTTTCAGAAATTAAATAAGACATGATCATATGAAGTTTTCTAGGATTGATGAAATAGAAAGGTTCAAACAAAGGGTCTCTTGCTAGACATAGCTGCTTGCTGCCCTAGCTAGGTTATAATTTTTGCCTTTGAATCAATCATCTTCTTCAAGTTCTCCTCCCATGGCGGCTTTCTTTTGAGTTTTCCTAGGTGCAAAGACAACCCACCTGTTCTTTTTCTTACAGATCATGCTGTTTTTCATACCACTTTGAGATCAACAAACTACTGTTCATCTTCTCCTTTGTTTTCCTTTTTTTGTTGATTTTTCGATATGGATTCTCTTCAGGGTTTTGAAACCTCGAATGCTAACCCTTCTTCCACTGCTTTGACCTCGAATTTCCCTGCAAGTCTCTCGATCACCACCGCCAACGGAAAACCGTTGTCGGTGATGCCGTCCTCATCCGCCCTGTCATCATCTTCTTCCTCCACTTCTCCGACTACTCTCAGCCGCTACGAGAACCAAAAGCGCCGTGACTGGAATACTTTCGGCCAATACCTCTGCAACCACCGCCCGCCTCTCTCCCTCTCCCGCTGCAGCGGCGCACACGTCCTGGAGTTCCTCCGGTACCTCGACCAGTTCGGGAAAACCAAAGTCCACACACCACTTTGCCCTTTCTTCGGTCACCCTAACCCTCCGGCTCCATGCCCCTGCCCTCTCCGTCAAGCTTGGGGAAGCCTCGACGCTCTCATCGGTCGCCTCCGTGCTGCCTTTGAGGAACACGGCGGCAAACCCGAAGCAAACCCTTTCGGTGCCAGAGCTGTTAGGCTTTATCTACGTGAGGTTCGTGATTCACAGGCTAAAGCCAGAGGCATAAGCTATGAGAAGAAGAAAAGGAAACGACCCCTTCAACCTCCTCCATCTCTTCCACCATCAAACATCGATCAAAATCAGTAAGCAAACTAAAAAAAACAGCTGCATGGAAAAACAAAACATGGTTTTTCTTTCATTTATGTTATAATCTGCAATATCGGACCATATATACATGTCTTTACTATTTGTAGTAACCTAAGATCTATCTGATTTTAACTTCTGATATGTCTTCTGATTGTACTTCCGATAATCCATTTATGACAAGTCTAGATTTGCAGATCAAGTTGAGTGTCTGTTCTTCTTTTGGTAGTTCCATGTTTTTTTATCAACATTTTGTTTAAAGATGAATCTTTCACAGATTATCATAAGGGGTTTGTAATAATGTGGGATTGGGCAAATCCATCTCCCATTTCTCCATTTCTGGAGATATTCTACTTTTTTATTATCGATTTTTGTGGGATCTTTACGTGAACCCTAATTTCCACAGTGAAATGTTGTTAGTTTCACAGAAAGAGAAATTGAAAAAAAAAATGATTTGATTGGTGTTTGAGCAGGAGACCAGAAGTTGTCCAATTGTAGATAGTATCTGGAATCACACAAATGTTCGATAAGCAGCCACCACAACTTGGATTAGTATATATATATATATTGATATGATAGGTGACAGGCTAAATGGCTAATCAATATAAAGACCTGGCTAAGTTCTAACTAGTGCAATGAACTATTGTGTTACTAAGCTTTCTCTTGGGTGTTTGGTTTCCATGAACCCGAAGGAAAAAATACATGTTTTTCTTTGGGTTTTATCTATGCATCATAATCATTATATATATATGTATCTGTTCTCCAAGATAAATCCCTAGTTTTGTCTACATATAGCTAGGTTTTTTTTTATTGAAGTACATTCAGGTATGGTCGATGAAATATATATATATATATATATATTGTGATGCATAGGAATTTCATATCAGCTCTATTTAGGGTTGAATAATGAAATTAAGAAAATTAAAAAAATTTAATCATATTGAACTATGTAGTTTAGTTTATTTATATAATATATATATATATTATGGTTTAATTCGATTTAGTTTAAACATTTAACTTCATAATTCGGTTTGGTTTGATATTATATATGAAATTTGTTTTGAATCATTATTTTTAAATTTGTTATAAGACAAGTAAAAATAAATAAAATTCAAAATTAATAATATGATTTTTGTGAATTTAAACTTATTTGTTTGTACTCGATTTAAACTTGAAGCTTGGTTTCTTCGAGTGTTGAGTTTGAAAAATGGTAAACAGTTAAAAACCCTAAAACCAAATAAATAAATCAATTTTCATATAATTAAGTTTCATTTTCTTTTTTGACAAATCGTACAATATAATTTGATTCCTTTTATTAAAAAAAATATAATTGAATAATCATCAAATAATCTCAGTAGTAAAAAAAGAAAGTAGGTTTTGGGTTCTAACAGTTGTGCTAGAAAGGTATGTGCGCGTCGTTAATAGATTAATTTTTTTTAACATATACTATCTTCTTATCATCACTATTAAAAAAACTTAACCGAACCGAATCAAATACACTTGAATTCTATTGATTTGGTTATATATATCAATAATGTTAAGTTGATCCAACTTTATTACGATGGACTGTTGTTTTGACTAAAGCTGGCCATCATATATGATATGTTTAAGATTCTGCTGGGACCAAAGTTGATACTAATGGACCTGCCCTTTGTATTTTCTAGTGCATATATTTCTACTAAAATTAAACTAGGTATATAAATTATATTACATAGTTATATGACCAGTCTTTTGAATATAGTATAATTTAAGTTGTTCATAGATTGTTTACTTTAGGGTTGATGATAAACAATAATAAAATTATATTTTAGTCCTTCAAAAATCTCGTGTACACCTCATAATTAACCCCTTTTATTTAAACGTGTTTCGTCGGCCCAAATTTAATGCTCACTAAAACTTCGTTCTTTGTTGCACCTTCTACCATGCTTTTCAAGGTTTCGCTTAATTAGTGTATATTTGACTTGGGAAAAATAAAAGCATATATTTAAAGAAAAAACAACTATTAGGGATGCATTTGCAATTTTTATATGTACGTGTATTTCATTTTGGCCCACCAAACCCTCATGATAAATGGTAAAAATGTGGGAATAGTTATATGAGGAAAAACAATTCCTCATTTAATGTTATTAAAAGATTGTTTCCTCAATTAAAGTAGAATAAACAATGTAGAAAAGTTGTATTTGGTCCTTCTAAAATGATAAACCTGTGATTTAATCCTAAAGATTATCCGAGAAATGAAAAGGGTACGAGAATCGGTAAAATCTTTTCAAGACTTCCGGTTGACAAGCAGTTGTGACTGTAAAAAGTAAAATATGTATGATACTGCTGATGCATGCTGAAAGCTGACAGACACCTGAGCCCATGGTCCTTCTTTTCTCTCTTGTCATTCATGCCTGTAACACACTCACATCCATCACCCTTCATCTCTCCTATTAGATTCTGCCACGTGGATGCTTTCTTACCCTTGATGCATTTACTTTTTAACCCCACTTCTTCATGATGTGGGACCTCGTAGGGTAAAAAAACGAGGTAAAAGAAGCTTTGTTAAAGTTGTCAATGTCTTAGTCGATAACTTTATGATGCAGCACTCTTTTGAAACAGTTTTCTACTATTAGTGGTGGTAAAGGTTTTATTTACGAATTGGTCCTTAAACTAACTTTTTCTTCAAAATGGTTCTTAAATTATTGTTTTTTACAAGTTTATTCCACAAAGTTGATGATATCACCCAACAACAAGGTAGTTAATATAAGTTACATATCATGTTTTTATTGATTAAAATTAAAATTATTTATATTTGAATTAAATCTTAAAAAATAATCATGTTTAATTTAATATCGAGTTAATTGTAAAGAATGTCCTCAGATTATGATCTCATTCTAAATTTACTTCATTAATTTTTAAACATTCTATATTAGTCTTCAAACTATGACCCATTATAAATTGATCCCTAATTTTAACATCAGTCCTCAAACTATTATTATCATTTCATTTTGATCATCATGTGACGTTAACTCTACTAGTTTTTTTATGATAACAAAAATTAAACCCTTATAAATTGATCTCTGGGTTTTTAAAGCATTCTATATCAATCCTTAAACTATTATTTTCATTTCATTTTGTTAACGTTGCATTAATTCTTTTGAGTTTTTTGGTCATGAATTAGACCCTTGACCTGTAAAAAAATCAATTTATTTTTAAAAGTTTTGAGAATTGTACTTGCGACGATTTTAAAAAACTTACTAATATCTTATAAAAGATAGAATATGAACCTAATTGAAAAAATTATAGAGAGCAGTATTATAACAAATATCCCTAAATATAAAAAAAAAATACATTATCATATAAGATCAGTTCGGGTTAAAGATTTTTCACCCTAGGCTCGACAATGATTCGACCTCACCCTTTACAACACCCAACCGTAACACAAGATTGTAGTAATACTAAAATGAGAAAACATCATTCATCTTACAGATAATGGTAACACAAGATTTTAACATATTAACAGATCGGCATAAACGCCAGAAAGGGGTTTTAGCCATACTTCTGGGTTTATTTATTACAGCTAAAATGTTGGAAATGTCGGAATATTTCCTTTACGATGACATCATTTATCGCATTCTTTTGGCGAGTCTAGAGGCATCCTTACAGCAAGCAAGAGTACTTGACAATGGCCTGAGAGGACGGGATCGAAAAGTTTCCTTTTCCGGGGATAGAGATTGTTGTGGATGGAACCCGATAACAGTCGAATATACGGATTAACGGTTTGTGAATACCAATTATAGTACCACTCTCTCTCCATCAGAAGAGACTATAATAGGCAAATTCTTCTTACCGGTCGCATGTGTGTGTGTGTGTGTGTGTTTACTTCCTTTTCCCGCTTCCGATTGTCAAGAGATCGAAGTTCCGGAGGGTGTCATCATGGCCACCTCTTGTGGCTGCAGTACGATTGAAAGATGATGATTTGGATTCAAAGCCAGGTTGAACTCCGTGAGCTGTTGACGGGCGACCACTGCTCAAGAGTAACCTGCTAGAACGGTTCTCACTAGGCTCACTAGAGGAGTCAGGCTGGATGCTTGATACGACAGGCCTCTTTGAAGCACTATCATTTCTCGAGGAGGAGCCAGGCTGGTTTTAGCCTTGGCTTCCACTGTTCTTCGATTTCAACAGGCATAAAGAAAAAAACTTGTTTGGGCTTAAACATTCACTGATGCCACTGGATCTCCTTTCACGAAGTAGTTCTACAAACATTAAATCTACCACCTCCATAGTAGCTTATGTATACAAATCAACTCATGAAGTAGCCTACGACCCCGACAGAAGATCGATGATATTAAATACCAGGTATCCGAATGAAACACAGAAATGCATCAAAGAATAACATCAAATACAACTGCAACAATCCTCAGCTAAATCGATCATCAATTTTAACATACCTAGTGATCCACCAACACACAGTATTAACAAAAAGAAAGGAAAGAACTTCCATCATTACAAATTGAAGTTGGTGAAATAAGTTTTCTTTTGTTGTTGTTAAATATAATATATGATTTAATTATATTTAGGATAAATTATACATTTAGTATCCCGACTATTATTATTTTCAAATTCATGTCTAACATTACGTTTTTTGTTTCATTTTTATCACCCTTACAAACTTAATAGGACTGACAATCTTTAAATATTTTTTTATTTCCATATTACCTTATTGGTTGATTAGAATTAATTATTAAAGTTTTGGTGAAGCATCCACGTCATGGTCAAATCAAAATTTAAAGGGTTATTTCAAAGCGTTGCACTCATAATATTTAAGCTTCATATAATGATTAATTAATAAATTTAAAGGTGCTCCTGAGGCCCAGCCACGTGAGCATATTAAGTACTGATAGGTTATTACTCAATTACTGTTATACATTTAGGTAATTTTTTAAAAATAAAAAAATACATTAGAAACCACAAAAAATTCAAATAGTCCTAAAACTTTGAAAACCCTTATTTTAACCCCTAAATCCACTTCGACTATCGTCCTTTTCCGTCAACAAAACTCCACCCGATCTCACCTCCCCAACGATCAATATCCCTATAAAATTACAACCAATCGACGTTTTGGACCGACGAACCCTAGGCTGAAAATCGCAACCCCAAGCGATTTCGATGCAATCCGCGACAAATATGACGATGCATGACTAGGAAGATGAAATGAACTACGACAACGACGATCGTCGCGTTTGACAAGGGTGATGGTGGCTAATTAAGGTTAGGGGTTTAAGATTTTTTAAATTAAAGAGAAACTAGAGTTTTTTTTTTATAAATATTATAATATTTTTAATATTTAAAACAAATCAAAATTATAAGAATGTGACTCTTGTCATGGAAAAGATTAACGACTGTTATGACTCGAACACCTAAAATAGTAACGTTTGTGACATTAGACACTTGAATCATTTAAACAAATTTGAACACCTATTTATAAAAAATGATATAATCTGATCACTTGTTTTTATAATTAAGGTTCAGATGAAAAATATTATACGAATCAACTTAATTAAATTTAACTTGTATAAATTTTCTTTTAAAAGGTTTTTCGAAAAACGGGCCAAAGATGTTACATATACAAACATTCCCAACGATGCCGCATATAACAGTATGCCACCGAAGTAATAATCTGTGTTATGTTTATGTTCATGTTTACATGGATATTGAAAAAGAAACAATCCGACATGCATTCACGAATTTGCCGGACGTAGGGGCCAACATGAATACACAAGAGAAGGGGGCTTACTAGTTTATGTGATGACAAAAACCCTGAGCTCACCTCTATCTCCTCTGGTGATGCGGGTATCGGAATCGATAAAGGTAACATCGAACTCGCCGCTTCCTGGATTAGACGGAGGCCGCAAAGCATCTGGAATCCGCGGTACTTCAAATGGCGGAAGCTGAGATAAGTTCCCTTTTGTTTTCACAGTTGTTTTCTCAAATGTTATCTTGACCGTTGAAGTTCCTAAGCAAACAAAAAAAAAATGGTTTTTACATCGGTTCATCTTTACCATTTTGAATAGTATTTGGATTCCGGATTTACTGATCGATCCGGATTCCGGTCTGATTTTTCATTCAATGAAATAATCTGAAAGGAAAGCCAAGTACCAACCTAGGAGTTCAAATTTGTGGGCTAAGGTGGCAGTCACTTCAAGAGGAGGCAAAGGCCATGGAGCTCCCAATTCAACTTCTGCTATATTATCGAAATCTTTGCTCACAACATCGATTCTCTGAAACACCTGAATATGAAACAAGTCTTTAAATCTTTTGACTCGAATACGGATATGTGTATGCCGCAAGTAATTTCAATTTATACAGTAGTGCATATAGTCCACAAATAAAGCAATCATAAAAACATTAGGATTGCTGCAAACCTGGCCAAGAGTTACAGGGAGCAACCTTCCAGTGGGAAGTCCGGGACGGCTTCCACCGAGTGTCCGAGACGAGAATGCACTGCTGTATATCAGTTTCCATTTCCCTTGAAGCTTATCGAGATCGGTCGTTAAGTCCACCGGTCCGGCAACCGTTTCAAGTTCCTTGGCAGCAGCATCGGCTTTCTGGAGATCATCTTCATTCGCAGAAAGACCTCTATTCAGCCCAGAAACAATACTCTGAATCCAAACCACCCTCCGTTCGAGTTAACAACTGAAAATAACATAGAACTTGAAAGGAACCAAAGAAACAATTCTCCCATTGTTTTCCCCCCTTAATATGTTACTATAGTCTGACATGTTAGTTGTGACGCCCGAAATTTTTTGGTTTTTATTTTAATAATTATCTCGGTTAATTTTGAGGACTATTTCGGCCCTTTTTAAAAACTTTCAGAGCCAAATCGAAATTTCAATGAAATTCAAGGACTGAAAGTGTGAATTACCCTTTTCTTATATTTCCCAATTTATTTCTCTTTCCCCCGAAGCAGATTGTATTTTGTGTGTGAAATCTCCCACAAAACTCATATCCCCCAACACCATTGCTCCGTGGTAGAACATCGACCCTTAAATCACCCAAATCGGCCACTGTTGTTGCGGAACCGTGAGAACCCGTTTGAAGGCCTGCCTCCGATATCCCTCACCGTTGGGCGGCGATCGTCACCGCCAGTACTAATGTGAACGTCAGGCCGTCGTGACCAAAACCCCGGTGGCCGATAATCATGACTCCTCGTCGTTTGTCGTAGAGAATGAGCAGAAGGTTCGTCAGAAAACTTCTCCCCGCCGCCGTTTTCGTCATCGGTTCGCCTCACCGCCACAACCATCGTGTTCCCCGGCCTGTTCAAACCAAAACTCAATCGGTTTTGTTCCCTCCTGTCGCCGTTTCCGTCGACCACAGTGAAGGGTGACTCTCGATCGCTTTTCCGGTGGTTTAATCGTGTTTTGGCTGAATTTTTATAGTTGTATCGAGTTATTTTAGTGTGTAGTTGTTTTTCGAGTGTTCGGTCATCGTCCCCGTCCCTGTGACTCGTCGCACGCGCCGGCATGCACCGTTGCCGCGCTTTAGAGTCATCTTGTTGAGGTTTCTGGAAAACTGAGTCAACTCGGCTATGTCAGTCGAGTCAACTTTGACCGAGTCAACCTGTTGACTTTGACCAAAAAGTCAAAATTTCAAAAAACTCTTATTTTATGTTTTTCGACGTCTTGGGTCTAAATCCGAAATCAATGTTATCAAATTCTAATACAAAAGCCTCCAAATTGACCTCTGAACTCGAATCTGCATAGTTACTTTTATTGAATTATCTTGGAAAAGTAAGGAAAAAGCAATGACTGGTTTACGACTTTGGTTATGATAGGTGCCTGTGATTTTCCCGAACTGTCGACTGATCGACCAAACTCCTCTCGACCTGCCCGACCGAGTGAGCCATGATTACTCGAGTAATTCCGTAACTCTGTTAAATACATTGTTCAATATATTATTCCAATAGTAACCCTGCTTTGATCTGAATTAGGTTCGTGTAAGGCTGTTGATCGTAGCGAGACCGGCCCCATTTTGCGAGGTGTGTTCTTTATGTACTATATACTTGTTTTTAAATTTCTTTCTGAATTACCATGTGCACATGAAGGTTTTATCTGATTTGAAACATGACCGTTTTAAATGACTGAAAAGCCTAATTCTGATTTATTGATATTAAGAACTTCTAAAATATATGTTTTACCGATTTTAAATTCCGATTTGACTCATACATGTTCTCTGGTTATTGTTTACTGAAAAATGTATGGCCTCTGATTTCCTGATTTACTAGTACTGTCTAAAACTGTTTCACTAGGGTTCTGGGATGTACTCTGGAAGCTCTGCTTGTTCAACTCCGATCAAGTTGATAATTCCTTATGGATCTAAGACGACCCTTGGGTGGGCTCCTGAGCTCAATGGGCCTAGTGGTAAGACCTTATGAACTCTATGACACTCCCATAAGGATGACTCCTTTGCTTTGTGCATTGTGGTAAGTCCTTATAGACCCAAGGTGCTCCCTTAGGTTGCCGCCTAAGTTCTATGGGCCTAGGGTAAGTCCTTATAGATACAGTTTGGGAAACTACATCTGGTGTTCGGTTGGAGGGAAATTCTCTTTGCACTGTTGGGACACACTGATCTTCCTAGCTCACTCTCCTATCTTTCCCCTTTTCAGATATTTTGAATAGGCTCCTAGATCGGCACTTGGAGGATCGACACATTCCGTACAGTAGATTTTGTTATAATGTTTTCTTCTTCCGAACCGCCTTCATGTTGGTGACATGTGCTTATTATTTTGATATACTGGTTTTCTGGGCCGTTTCCTATACGGATTAAATTGTAATTAAATATTTGACGTTTTGTGTTTTATATATTCCGGTTGGGGTTTTTACTATTATAAGGATGTTTTAAAAAGTGGCATTGTTTTTTTTTTGTTAAAGTGTTGAAAATGTTTTGAGAAATGATTTTATATCGTAATCCGCTAGATCTGGTCGTAACGCATAGGCTGAGTCTAGGGGTTACATTAATGACAAGTAAACGAACGAGATCACAAACAAGAACACACATATTTACGAGAAAAATCAAAGGCAGGAGAGAAGAATTCAGTATTCACTATAGTCAACAGTAAAATCACAAGAAAATTTCGCCGGACCACATCAAATAAACAGAATTTCACGACAGACAACATAGATAAAAGGAATGGTTAATTACTTGATATATATACACATATGTCGTATTAGATCGAAAGTTCTTCAATATATTGCTTGATATACAATTTCATACCTGAATTGTCAATTTCTTTCTGGAGATATGTTTTTGATCCAATTTAGCATCTAAATTTGACATTTTTTTTCTCTAATGCAGTACTTATCTATATATATATATATATATATATATATATATATATATATATATATATATATATATATATATATATCTTTAATAGTATCTGAATTTCATAATTTTCCTAATTTGGTACCTGAAATTTACAAGTTAACAAGTGAGTTTGAGCTCATGAGATCTTGAATTATCCTTCGAATTAGGTGTTCTGAATCTGGTAAGTTGTAATACAGGCATTGTGTAAAAAAATTCGATACCAAATCGTATATTAAGCAAGCCTTAATATATCAATTTCAATGAATCAAAGCCACATATAAACACCAAACATATCCAAGTTCTCCCTCCTAGTTGAAACTAAATAATTCACAAATTCAATAAATTAACATATCTTTAAGCCTAATTGAACAAAGAAAAAGGGAAAAAAACTTGGATAAACTCTAAGCAAAAGCAAAAAGAACACATGATTGAGCAAAATCCAGTAAAAACCCAGAAAACTGAAAACGAAAATTACCAGTAATTTAAGCTTCAAGGAAGGAATGAGTTGAGATTTAGCATCTGCAGGCGGCGGCGGCGGCGGGGAGTCAAGAACAGAGACATCTTCAACAGCTGATTTCAACACGAAGTTTCTTTTCCTTTGAGGACGGCGCCGCTTGATGTTAACGAGAAAAGGGTATGGTTTTCTGAGAGTGAGAGGAGATCTGATGGAGCAAGAAGAGAAGATGGATGCGGGAGCTTCTAGAATAGAACTCGAAGTAGCCATGGCTATGGGTGGTTTTGCTTGCCCCTCGGCTTCTGTGAGTGTGGTGTATTGTAGAATCTTCTCTGACGTTAGAGAATCAAAATCTATGGTTTGTATAGCAAAATCGAAGTCTGCAGACAAAAAAAATATATAAAATAATTTTTAATTGATTAATCTTTTCATGCGTACTTGAAGAAGATTACAAATATCAGACAATATCCATTATTTATTGTCATTTGTTGTAGAAAACATGTCCTGAGCCTCGACTTAAACGGCCCATTTTAGCTCCCATATCCGTAACTTTGTTGGGTCGAACACCCCATTTAAGAGAGTCAACGAATTTTCGTTCGATATGTAAAAAAACGACGATTTATTAAATCGAGAAACATTATTTTAAAAAGATAAATAATATACTTCAAAATTATCTTTATCGAACACACAAATGATATCTACCCTCACAAATATAGAAATCAACGGAATTATTTGTACATCAAAGGAAAAAGAAATAACTTTAATATATTTTTAATTAAAATGCATTAAAATTAAAGATTAATATTTAGTATGTCGATACTATAATTTTTTTTAATTCTATAAATGGTGTTAAAATACTATTAGATGGTTTTATCCTGCTTATCGAGTTAAAATATTATACTTTTAGTGTATCAAACTATTACTATATTAAATCCAGCTATTTTTGTGATTAAAAATATTAATTATTTTTAAAAATTTTAAGTTCAAATATCAAATATAAATAATATTTAAACATTTATTTCTAAATGATTAATATATTTTTTGAAATATATAATATTACTTTGTATGCACTATATGTTAATAAAAGAACTATTATCATGAAACTAATAAATATAATGATTTTTCCATATAATTTTAATAGTATATGAGATGACATGCCAATAAATGAATCTCTAGTATAATATATATATATATATTTTAAATTATTGAATAATTATATGAATTACTACGATTAATGGTAAGAGACTTTCATAAAAGATTAAATTTTTTACATTCAAGAACTAATTTAATTATTAATGATAATTTAGAAATATGTTTTAAATTGAACACATATATATTAATTACATATATTTTTCATGCGAAATGAATACAAATAAAATTTTAAGGTGAATACAATCAATAAAATGAGTAACTAATATATAGAGAATTGAATTCAAATTGAGAATAATATATATATATATATCTGTCGTTACCGATGATCTAAATGATTTGTCAAGTATGAGTGAATCTTAACTCATATAAAAATATATATTAATGAAAATTTTGAAAAATATTTAAGGGATATAATTAAAATTTGTAAAAATAAAAGGGTTTAATTGAGTATTTCCAAAAATGTTGCCTCAACCTCCACTGCTAATAAAGTTTGCATTTTGCAGTGTATAAAAGGGCGGAATCAGAAGGGAATAAAATAACACGCAGTACTTTGGGAAGGCAAAAGATGAGAAAAATGGGAGAGGAAAGGGAATACACGCAGTAATGCTGTTCAGTCTTTCATGGAAGCTTCCGGCTCCCAATCACAGATTCCGGACAAGGTAAATCTTAATTACCATTATTATTCCTAGGAACACAATCAGGATGAAATATTGGATTAAATGTATTCATTTGTGGTTTGTAAGGCTGCGGAGATTATATGGAAAAGAGCATTCATGGCATTGTTGATGCCGGTGAGGATGGTGTTGTAGTTGTTGTCGAGCAGGATGGGGACCTTGTTGCTTTGTGGAAAGCATTGTTTGACTGGGAAATGGCCTTCTATTCATCGTTTCTCCACCATGCCATTGCCCAAGAGAGGACAAGTTCTGCAAGCCTGGTTTAAGCATCGGATCTTCACTCCTATTAGAAGTATTTTGCTCTACTTCAAAATGGTCATCCTTTACAATATCTTCACTCGGGTAATTTATTAATTACTCACTCACTGCTCTCTCGAATTTCAAAAATCTATTTGTTGTTTACATTTTGATCTTTCATGTGGATACAAATGGTGAAAATCCATTATGGGAAGCGATTGGGTATACTGTAGACAAAGTTGAGAATGTTCCAAAGGAGAGACCTCTTCAAAAGGGAATAATAGAGACATTGCATGCAAATGCCATATGTTGAAAATTCATTAAGGGGACGATGAATAAAACAATCTCCTTGGTAGCATCTCAGGTCTTAAACAAAGAAATTATAGACGGTCCATATGCCATATGTTGCAGGCTTGAGACGGCAGATAATATTGGCTTTTGTGAAACATCATTATTATTATTACATCGGCAAATGCCAATGCTAATCGATGCTATAAATCACAATGGATGGACCCATTAATCCTTGCATCGAGAAACTATGAACATTTTTCGCCGCCCTCAACCACCACCTCAATGGTCTGCATCTCTTTGCGGTTGTGGCGACGACGTCGGAACTTGTAAGTCTCTCGTTTCATACCTTGACACAGTATGTCCCGACATAGCTACATGAATCACTTAGACTAAACTCGAGGTTCAAATTTCAAATTTTTTTCATATGATCTGAACCCGTAATGCAGGCTGCATAACATGCCGTCTCCCATGCATCACCTTCGGCCAAATAGCGGAAATAGTGGACGAAGGAAAGAGCTGTAAGAACACAATCGTCTCTTAATTTCTTCGAATTCTTCGACAGCCAGACATTAATAATGTGTCTGACATATATATAATCCGAATTCGAATTCTTCAAGCAGCTTGTGTACAACAAGGTTGCATATATGGGATGCTGATGCTGTGTTCATGTCACTGCCTGCTGTCGTGTGTTTATAGAGAGAAATTGAGAGCGAAATTCGGGTTGCCGGCCGAGCCATGCAACGATTGCTGCGTTCACTTTTGCTTTGATGCATGTGCTCTGTGTCAAGAACATGCTGAGCTCAAGAATAGAGGCTTTGATCCATCCAAAGGTACAACTATTTCTCCTTCATTATCTTTCATTTATATATCATATCTATTTGTTTTTTTATATCATCTTGAAATAAAAATAATTGCTCAGATTTATCATGTAAATATACACTTACAGGTTGGAAACATGGAACTCATACTGCACCACCAAGGATGCCTCCTACCATGAAGAGATGATTAGTATCAATTGGTCAAATGAGATTAAATCAATTTCATAATCTACATTATTTATGTTTAAAGAATATATGCAATTCAACTCGTTTGATTTTATTAATTATCAATTGATCTAGGTAATTTTTGGCATTTGCTACATCTATATTAATATTTAACATTTGAGCAAAGTTAAGACGACATTAATAACCAATAAGGTTGGTTTAAGTGGTAAGCATCATGTCATCATCAAGGACATTGGATGGCTTTAGACCCCGATGAACAATCGGTGTTCGACAATGGCGATGAAGGTAATCTATTGCATTTGCCACATCTATAGCAATGTCTAACAATTGAGCAAAGTTTAGACGACGTGAGACACCTAAACCGTGATCAAGATGAAGCCAACTCTCTAAACTTCCATTTGCCATGAATTCCAAAACTATGGCCTTGAAATCATTGCCTTGGAAGTTTATGCTTGAACAAGAAGTTATCAGCTTGACTAGATTCCGATGTCGAATACTTCTTAAAACCTCACATTCAGCTATGAAACTCTTGACAGCCCCAAGGTTTTGATGGATCATTACTTTGATCGCAACGGGTTTTTCTTGTCGATTAAGAAACCCTTTATAAACCGACCCGAAACTTCCCTCACCAAGGAAGTTCAAGGTTGAGAACCCGTTAGTGGCTTCAACAAGTTCCTTGTACCGTTGTACGAAACCTGAAAGAGGCTAACTTAATTTTGTATCATATTTTATGATAATAACATTATACACTATACATGTATTCCCACAATTATAGATTTTAATCCAACGGGATCCTTCGGAAAGAACAACATTCTCTTGTTTTTTTTTTGGATGAATATTAATTTTTGTTATCGAAATAAAGCAGAGAACTACTACAACTAAAACAATCCAATTAACCTACAACACATTTACTAGGCCAAGAAGAAGAGGGGAGATCTTCAAAAGCAGAGAGACCCCCACCCAAACAACCCAATCTACAATCAAACAAAAAAACCACCCAGCATGGAATTAGGGCAAGAGAATGAAGATTGAGGATGTTGTCACTCAATTGCTTGCAATCAGGACAAAACTACATGGAATCTATGTTTAATTTAGTGTTGTCCGAGTGAAATAAAACACCAATATGTCTGTTTGTGTCTGTAAAACTCAATTATTTAGACTAATCTTACTTATTGCGTTTTACCATTATTAACGTCTATGATTACAAATTCGCTATCAATTTTTGTTATTATATTTTTTTCATTAATTTCTCGTAATAAAAAATTGAACTAATAATTTTAGAAACTTAAATTTAATTATTTAACTTGTAAAGTTGATATAAAATTATATCTAAATTGATGATGAAATAATGGTAATTATAAATGTATAAATACTTGAAGTCACAATCAAAGAGAATTTAGATTCAAATCTTAGAGACGAAATTACTGGGAAAAAACAGTCATATCGTTTTCCCTTTCTTTCAATTACAAAAAATAGAAGTCTTGAACGTTTCGACGACTCGTGGAGGTAGTAGGAAACTTCTTCCTATAGAAAAAGAAAGGGTGCATAAGTCGTTTGTAATTGTATCCAAGTAGCCTTACTCTGTCGACTTTTAGATTCCTTTTTTAATTGGTTGACTCGATCTGGAAAAACAAAAAAAAAAAAAGGAAAAATTATATTAATAACAAAAATAAAAAAAAGTATGAAAGATCCAATTCACCCAAGCGAGAAGTAGCGTGAATCAGTTTAATATCTGCAACACTCCTATAGGTATAACATGACTAATATCAAAATACGTCTCTAACACTCTATTAATTAGTCTCTTTGGCTCGTATTCTTTTTCTAGAGTATTTCGGTCTTAATATTTCATTTTAGGATAAAAAAATCTCTATTTTAGAGTATTGATCGTTTGTTGACCAACGGTTTTCAATATGGAGAAACTTTTTACTCCAATATAAAATATTAGATGTCAAAATATTCCTTAAAAAATTAGGACCCGAAATAATGTCTCATCAGTTAA